ATGTGTCCAAATCTTCCACACTCATAGTATTTTCCATCATTCTTGTCTTGTTCGTTGTATTGCCTGGATCGCCTAGGTGGAATTCTTCCTTTTCTCGTATTTCTGAATCTTCTCGTTAAGTCATTCATGTTTCTTGATAGCATAGCAATATCTTATTGTAGAGCTTCAGGATCATCATCGATTTTATTTTCAACTACTTCAGTTGAGGCCTTGTATGCGACTGTTTTCCTTTTTTTTTTCTTGACTAGTCTTCTTGAGATGTGTCTTTTCAAAGGCTATGAGTTCTCCTCGTAGTTAATCATAGGATAAATTATTTAGATCCAGAGATTCAAGTGTGACTACTTTAGTCTGGCAAGTGGTTGGTAGGCTTCTGAGAATTTTTCTAACTTGATCACCACTCGTATATGGTTTTCCAAATGCTTTTAGATCGCTAATTATTTTGCTGAATCTGGAAAACATCTCTTCAATAGACTCTCCTTCTTTCATTGAAAAGAGTTCGTAATCATGAACCAACATGTTGATATGTGTTTCCTTTACTTTGTTGGTTCCTTCATATGTAACCTCAATCTTGTCCCACATTTCTCTGGTTGTCTCACAGCTAGAGATTTTCTCATACTCTTCACCACTTATGGCATTATAAAGCAGGTTTCTCGCTTTATTGTTAACTTGTATCACTTCCATTTGCTCTTTTATATTTGAGTCTATATCTTCAGGATCAACAAGTGGTGGAGTAGCAACTGGCAGGGGATAGTTCCCCTTTTTGATGACTCTCCAAACTTTAACATCATATGCCTTGGCATAGATCTCCATACGCACTTTCTAGTGAGAGAAATATTGTCCATTGAAATATGGTGGTCTAACTTGTGAAGTTCCTTCCTGGAAGAGAGCTCCTATGATAACTTGATTTGCCATAATTTTTTCTCACAAACTGTTAAGCAAAAGAAAAATGTGAGCCTTGCTCTTATACCAATTGAAAGTACAGGAGGGGGGGGGGTAAATTGTATATTTTTAAACTTAATCTCTGTTAGTTGACTGATTTTCCAATTAGTCGACTAGATGCAATAAACTAATGGTTGTAATAACAAAATATAAGATGATGAAAGTAAATGCAGGAATTAAAGACACCGGAATTTTTATACTGGTTCGGATTCAATGTGAATCTCAGTCCAGTCCCCTTGGGTTGCAAGGTATTTCTCTTTAGTGAATGCGTTTCTTCGAGTACAATGGAAATGACGTGATAGCTTAGTTCCTATATCACTCTTCTCTTTTGATGCAATGCCTCACCAGTGTTGTTCTCTCTTTCTTCTCTAACTTGTTACACAACAGGTCTTAGAGAGCTACAATATTTGTTTGCAGTAGAACAAAGAGATAGTGTTTGGTTCGATCAAAGTATGTTTGTCTAAGCCTTAAGGATGTGTATAAATACTTTGTAGGAGGCCGTTTGCTGAAGAGATTTGACAATCCAAGAGATTTGATCCTTGGAAAGAGATTGATTCTTTCCAAGAATAAGGTTATTTGTCGTTGCTCTTCCTTGATGAGAGGGCATTGATAGCTTTCCTTCTACAGATCTTGATGAGCGAGTTTTACTCCTTGATTATTGGTCCTTCTGAAATTAGCAGCTTGCCATTGCTCTTCCTCATTGATAGCTTTCCTTCTACAGGCTTTGATAATGCGAGTTTTACTCCTTGATTATTGCTCTTTCTTAAAATAGCAGCTTGATTGATTATCTAGCAAGATCTTCGATTGATTCTTTTCCATTTAAATCAATCTCTGATTGATTCTGAATCTCCAGATGGTTAATTGATTCCTTCCTCTTGATTCCTTCAATCTTGGATGTTTTCCTTCCTCTTGATTCCTTCAATCTTGGATGCTTCCTTGAGTTCCTGCACAGATATATTATTTGCATCATTAAATTCAGATCTAACACTTTGTGTATAGGTTGTGCCTTTACTTTGTTCGAAAAGATGCAATGATAACATTAGAATGTACTATATAGAGAGAAAATTACATTAATCTATAGGAGATATTTCATATGTCAAAGGGAGACGAAATTTCCAACATGTTGTAGCAGAAGCTGGAAAGGAATAAGAGGGACTCTTGATTCTGTATAGCCGCTTCAAAATAATAGGCGAAAAATGTATATTTTTATATATATACACATTTTTGTATATTATCCACAAAAAATATAATACAATTATTATACATTTTTATGGTTATCGGATGTATGGTAAGACCTTGGTTCCCTCGTTAGGGAAGAATTTGGCTTATCTCTGTGTACAAATTCCAAGCTCTCCCCTAAAAGCTAAGCCAAAAGTTAAAGCCACACGAAACAAGATAATATTCTTGCACAATGTATACATTACGCATTCAATGATGTAAAACAAGTGGCAAATATGTATCCCACTTAGTGTCTTGTACTATTTGGACAGAAGCGGAACCAAAACTTCAAGTTTATGGGTTCGGAATTCTAGTTGTTTTAAGTTACTGAGTTCTAAATTAATATTATATATATATATATTTAATTTTTAAAGACAAATATAGGATTCGAATCAAAGCTACTGGGTTCAGCCGAACCTGCTCGGAACACTCTAACTCTGCCGGACTGACCCTGTATTCAGATTATGACTAATCGGGATTCGCATAAGGTAAGGTATAGGGAAAGCGCATTTTATTAGAATTTTTTTCATTCTAAAGACTCGAACTTAAAAGGATGGAGATCAGGGTCCTATTCATCCCATCACAATCTTTGGTAGTATAAATATTTTATTCCGTTAAAAAGACAGCTTGGTGCACAGGGCATCCGAGATTCACACTGGATCCGAAGAGGGCCGCACCCAAGTGGTATGATGTAGACAAACTAACCTAATGCAAACATTAGTGGCTACTTTCACGGCTCGAACTCATGACGTATAGGTCACATGAAAACAACTTTACTGTTACTCCAAGGTTCCCTGCAAACATTTTATTGTGTTATTGCAACATAGTCACTCCGTTTTGATGTTTTATCTTATTCTCAAGGTATAAAAACGAGTTCTACAATTTCCTTAACAATTTGATCATCTCCTTATTATTTGGAGATTTATATAAACCTTATATTCTACAAGCAAAAAAGTAGTGATGCATTCTTAATCGAAGAAAAAAGGGTTTTGAATTTTGATGCCCTCCTGAAAATTACATGCATGCAAAGTTGGCAAAACTTTACCTTTTAAAAAGTGGTGTACTCACTAGACAAATACCAAAAGAAGAAAAAAAACAAATTTTCAATATTTTTCACGATCACGATATACAATAACAACAATAAACAAAAAAAATTAGTATAATCTCACCGGTGGGGTTTAGGGAAGGTAATGTGTACGCAGACTTTATTCCTATCTTATGAAGGTAGAGAGATTATTTCCGATAGACCCTCGGCTAAAAAAAAAAAAATAAAGTAACAAATAGTATCAATAACAATATAATATAATAGGATCAAATGGCACAATATGTAATCACGATCAAGATATACATTAGCAAAATGATTCTTGCGTATAAAGATTTTAAGGCATCTCATAATTAGATGATGATTACATACTCTAATCTCATATATTAGAAGGCTTGATTCACAAGCTAATTGCTTTTTGCATTGGTAAAAGAGAATTTTATGATACCTTTACTTTCTTTGGCCAGCTATACATATATGTTTTGTTTAGTTAACGAATGGAATTTTCTCTTAATAAAGTGACAAATAAGCATCAACACTCTTTCTTAATCGTATTCTTCACCTTAAATTAGTAGTGAATCTATTCTCCATATTATACTGTATAAATCTCATTGGATATGCAAAAAGTGAGAGCTTTTTTAAAAGATACGTATAGTATTTGTTCAAGAATTTGATTGGGATTTTTCCTTCTGTGACACCCTACGCGAATTCCACATTGACAAAACACGGGAGAGATACTGAGTATATAAGTAGACATATTTTAAACTCTAGTGACGCGTTTTAAACTCGTGCGGGCCTAGGCCCAAAGCGGACAATATCACTAGTAGGTTGGGCTATTACATATGATATTAGAGCCACTTCGCGTGCAATACTGAATGATATGTGGCACCGTACGGGCCTAGACCCAAAACAGACAATATCGCTAGTGTATATTTGGCTATAAAAGAGAATAAGCTAAAAGAGATATTGATTTGGTTTGTTTACGTTTATTCCCCCAAAATCAAATTTTTAAAAAGTTAATTTGATTTATTAGACCAATTACATTCATATATTGAGAATAAAGTAATATACATCTAGGAATAAAGGATCAATTCCCTTGATATATTAAACATAATTAACACAACGGAGGGGAATTGCCTTATCCCTTACATTCTCTAATCTCAGTGATAATGACCCCTTGATTGTGTCACTAACAAAGTGAAAATGAGGATTAATGTACGCAAACTAAAGCCAATTAATGATATTCCTAGTTGGTTTAATTTCTTCTTTGAATGAAGTTCGTTCACCTCGTTTTCCCTTTTATTATTGTTTTTCTTTTAAATTCTAAAAGGATGTGCCCAAGTGCGCTAAAAAAATGTTTTTGATTTCTTTCCATTCGCCTAAGTCTTTATGGGCAAATTTAATCGGTACTTTTACTCGTGGGAGGTAGCAGGCATAGATGAAACTAGAGAAGTTTTTAATAACGGTAGTAATTGGACCGAGTTGCACGCACCTCGACCATTTCATCGGATATCTGTTATACAACTAGTACGGTTACTAGATAATTCTGCTATGCTTAGACAGATGCGAAAAATCACCTAGTATTTTTTTGTCGCAAGGATTCGACTCCGCTTGAAATCGAAAAGATAACTATTGTATTACAAAAAGGAGAAGAAAAAACAAGAATCTATACCGATCAAAAAATCCTTTCATGATTCTATTGAATGCATCTTAAAATGAAGTCTTTTTTGGCAAAAAAGACTTGAGCTGTCTGCAGAAATTCAGGACATTATATTCTACACTAAGGAAACAAAACATTAGCAAATGCTGAATAATGAGAATTTTTCTTGAACAAGGAAGAAATTCATTAATAATGGGGGATAAACTCCCCTATAGAAGTATACCAAAATGTAGAGAACCTACAAAAATGAATGGTTCTCTGCTGAAGACACCCATTCTTCAATTTAAATAGGAACCTTATGGGTGTACCAAAAAGATATCAAAGATAAGAAATTTTCTTCAAATGTACAAAAGCAAACTCACTTCCCTCAAACGCTCTCTTATTTCTCTCACTCCGTACAACTCACATTAAAGCCAACGGAGCAATATCCTACGCTCTATGTCTTCTCTTCTCTTCTCTTCCGTCTTCTAAATGCCTAGCTAAATCGAGCATCCTTCATTATACTCAGCATGGTCCACACTAACCCAAACCATCTCAAAATCTCCCACCATAATCAGAATGCCATCTCACAATAGAAGGTGATCCACATCCTCTCAAATTCGTGCACGTGAAACACCAACTAACATAGGAGACCCTCCTCTAACTCAAATTTTTGGCAGTCAAAATCGCTCCTCTAGCCGCCAACCATAAAGACCTCTGTAGGTGCCCTTGGGATCCATATTGATTAGTGTAGGAAGACTAAATTATAAGGTAAACAATTTTTATTACTGATGGAAAACCCTGTATACAAGCAAATTAAAGATTTTGAACAAAAAATTGGTCTTGCAATCATACAAGACTCCAGAATTCTTGAGAATTCCCTGCGGGTCAATGGTGCACGGTTCAGAACTCGGCCAATAATGAGCCCACCCTTCTATACTACTCCACTTAAATACCAGACTTTTGTATGCAGAAGGGTTCGAACCTGTGACGTGCGCCTAACCCACACATGTATGTGCTATGCTCTTATAACTGGACCAAAGCCCCCCATAAGACTCCAGCATTCTTTCTTTAACTAATCAAGTACCTGTAAGGTATGAGCACTGTATCACTCACATAGCTGTAGATAAGTTTCATAAAGAACTTTAGTCGTCACTCCAAGAGAGTAACTTTAACAAGCTCGCAGCATGACCAAAGTATACCAACACAATGCTCTATCTAGGAAGTTAACATGATCGATCTATCAAATATTAAGAACAAGACTAACTAGATAAGCTTACCCATTGGCTCAGAGATCAAAATATCAGCTTTCTCAGGTAATTCTACCTCTTCAACCTTTTCTTTTGACTACCTAAACATCATGAATAGAAGACATACAAAAAAGAATAAGAAGCACAACCAAGATACTATATGAATATGTAGAATAGCACTGGAAAAGACACCCAAATAAGGCAAAAGAACAATCAATCAATCAACAACACCTCAATCGCATACTAGTTGGGGTCAGCTTAAACAAGTAAAAAAGAACACTTACAGTAACTTTTTACTCGGTGATGGATTTCCAGCAATAAGTCTCCTGGCATAGTCAGCCATTTCAGAAGCCTATATGGCATAAACGTGCTTTGTACCGGCCTGAGAGAGTTTTTTGGTTTGAGAGATAGGTGGGAAAAAGAAAAGATAGAGTATATCAGCAGATGTTGATATCGTTCACCGAAAAGCACAAAATGCATTGCTACAAGTAGATCGCCTGAGCTTCAAATAATGACAAAATGCAACTACCAGCACCAACATCAACCACAATGTGACCAAGAAAATAGCATGGTTCTCAACTGCAGCAGCTTAATAGGTTCCAGCAAGTTTTTTAAGGAACTCATATTATACACGCTAATGCCACAGACTCGCTCTCTTCTTCTTCGTGCTCCAAATACTTCAGCTCTGAACCAATCCATTCTGCCATCCTATATATCTCCTCGGTCTGGGGGTGAGACTTGTCATCCGATGAAAATCCATGCAAATTTAAAGAACAATCAATGCTACCTATTACATCTACCCAGCTGAATCCTATCTCTTTCCTCACTCCCTTGTCTCTCATTCCTTTTCTGATGTTTGCTACCTTTTCCCATTGCCCCTTCTCTGCAAACAAATTCGACATCAAGACATATGAACCTGACTGCTCCGGTTCTAATGCAATCAAAGTATTGGCTACTTTTGTTGCCATCTCCACATTTCCATAAATCCTACATGCACCAAGTAAGCTTTGCAACACAGACAATCCAGGTCCTCCTGGAATCTGAACCAAAAATATTTCAGCCTCCTTTAACCTCCCCCCCCGACCAAACATATCCACCATACAAGAATAGTGCTCTGAAGATGGTTCAATGGAGTAATCTCTAACCATGGAATTGAAAATATCTACTCCCATATCAACCATCCCTTTTCGACCACATGCTGTGAGTATAGAAAGAAAAGTTATTGAGTCAGGACTCACGCCTTTCTTCCTCATCTCCTTAAACAAAGCCATTACCGATTCATAATCTCCATGCCTCGAATGAGCAGAAATAATAGCAGTCCACGAAACTTGGCTCCTGTCAGCTATCTCATAGAAAACTCCTCGAGATTCAGCGATACTCCCACGTTTAGCATACATGTCAAGAAGAGCACCTGAAACAATTGGATTCCTGTTGAAACCCCGCTTAATCAAACAAGCATGGCATCGCTGGCCGTGCTTTAAAGAAATGCACTCAGATGAGGCGATCGCGCTCAAGACACTGCCAAACGTGTATTCATTAGGTAGCAACTTCATTGATGCTGACAAGAATGTTTGTAAAGCTTCTCGAGACATTCCATTTTGAGCATATGCAGAAATCAATGCGTTCCACGATATGAGATCTCTCTGGTCGAGCTCTTCAAAAACCTTAAACACGTCTTCCATTAATTCAAACTTAGCATACATGCTAATGAAGCTATTAGCAACATTTAGTTCTGAGAAGAAGTTCGTTTTTAAACAACATCCGTGAATCATTTGGCCCTCTGGTAACGAACTCTTGACAGTTATAGAATGAATTAATCCAACAAAAGTAACGTGATTAGGGTAAACCCCATCCCTCCGCATCCCATTAAAAACAGATACAGCACTTTCATCATTGATGGAAAGCATTGTCGTCCAAGACACTACGTTACGTTCCGTCATACTTTGGAAAACCTTATTTGCATCTTCGGTGACATCACACTTATAGTACAACGATATCAAAACATTACACACTGAAACATGAGTACCATACGCCATCTTAATAACCAAACCATGTATCTGCTTCGCAAGATCCAAAGATCTTTCCTGTCCACAAGCAGATACAGCACTGGTGAATGACACATGATCAGGTTTCACTCCTGCCTTCATCATTTCCCTAAACCCCAAAGTGGCTTGGCACGAGTAACTCCCTTCCTGTGCATAGCCCGAGAGCAATGCATTCCACGAAACCAAATCTTTATGCAACATTTCATAAAACACTCTTTCAGCTTCCGCCATATTACTACCCCACTTCGAATACATAGTCACAAGTGCATTCCCAACGAAAACGTCATTCTCCAATCCGAACTTCAGAACAAGAGAATGCAATTGGATACCAAAGCGAAATTCCTCTTCATTCGTGCAATGACTAAGAGCAGTAGTATAACTCACAGCATCAAACATAAACCCAATGGAATGCATCCAAAGAGCAAAACTCAATGCCTCTTTACCATTTTCAAAACCCGAAAGCAGGGTATTATAAGAAACTCTATCAGGAAAATCAAGGCTGTTAAACACACACAAAGCCTTATTAAAATGCCCATTTTTACAGTACATGCTCATTAATGAATTTGGGACTGTTGTAAATGAAATGAACCCACTGGTAATGGCCAAGCTGTGGATTTGAGACCCAAGATTTACATTTTCACGACAACCCTTTAGAGCTAAGGCTATTGCAACTTCATCGATTTCTGAGATACCCATTTGGAGCTGATTCTTGAATAGCTTAAGAGCTTCAATTTTACGGTTTTGGTGTATCCAATTGAGCATGGATTGGTGAATGGAAACAAGAGCTGGTTTAAGACTTTTATCAAACACTTGGTGTGCATTGTGAATGGAACGGAGATTCCGAGCTGACCACTGCCGGTGTAAGGAGACTATGTAGAGGGTTTTAGGAGGAATTAGACGGCGGATAAACATGGGAAAGAAACAACCGTCAAAAGCCGTAATCCTGAAAACCCCTCCTAAACCCTTGTGATGCTTATTGTTGTAGGAAAGCCATAGAGTTCTAATTGAGTTCCATCAAGTTAAAATTCTTCAATTATGGTCCTTCCATTCAATTTATGTGACTATATTTTAATAGATTTGTTTTTAAGTATATTTTTTTTAAATGACTCTTTTATAATTTTGAAAATAACTTAACCTTAAATTCTCACGGGAGAAAAGTTAGAGCCCGTTTGGACATAATTTTTTTTCGAAATCAGTGTTTGTTCATAAAATTTCCAATTTTCACTTGAAGATGCATTTTGAAAATTTTTCAAAAATTTGAAAAACTCCAAAAAACTATTTTTCAAAATTTTCACTCAAATTACTCACAAAACTTCAAAAACTGAATTTTATGTCCAAGCGCAACTCTAAATTTCAAATACCATTTTCACTTGAAAAAAATTTCACCATTTTTTGGAATTTTACAATTCTTATGTCCAAACACCTACTTAAAGCTTTATGAAAATGAAAAATCTGGATCAATCGTGGAAGCTTGAAAATAAGACCGTCCGAGAAAAAAGTCACAAGTTTTATAGCCACATTAAATATTATGGCACCAAAAGACTCAACTATTCTTTTTTTTCTTTCTTAAACAGGAGTCCAAATAAGATCATATAAAATAAATCAAAAGGAGTATTTATGTGTTATGTTTATTGTTCAAGGTTGAAGAGGGAATTTAATTTTTAAAGGAAAATTGATATTCACCCTTCACAAATGATAGAATTAATTTAATCGCCCTTTACAAATTAAGGTTGATTTTAGAAATTTTATGAAATTAATCATTAACGGGCAAGAAATCTTTTTTATAATCACATCAAATTATTGCAAGTTTCTCTAACAGCTTGTTTGGATGATTGTTATCTATCGTTTCATAATGTATCGTATTGTATTGTATTGTATTGTATCGTTTGATGAATGCAATGTTTGGATGGATTGTGTTGTTTTGTCGTCGTTTCATGGTATCATGCACCAGTAATATGATGAATAAACTTGCAATATTATAAAGAAAAATTATGAGATGGTATATAAAAGGGTAGGGTTAATGATAAAATAAAATTATTTAATAATAATGAAGGGTGAGATTGAGAGAAAAATACAAGGAAACGACGCGACCACACCAAATCGGTCGTTACATAAAGTGACACATTTCATCGTTACGTAACGACGGATTTAACGATACGATACAATAAAATTTAAATAACATTCAAAACAAACATTGTATTTAAAGTAACAATACAATACGATACGATACAACTGGTAACAACCATCCAAACAAGCTGTAATTCGACTAGGAAATCCTTAGCTACTTAAGCCACGTACTTTGAGAGGGTAATCAAGTTGTAAAAACTAGTTGGACATGCATATTGTACAGAGTTGTATGCAATGAGTGAGAATTGAATTCGTTGGAAAGTTACACTACGTAAACAAGATAACATTAATTTTTGTATATATGCATAAAATTTTGAATTTGATTCTCTTAATTTTTTTGATTATACAACAACAACATCAACAACAATCTAGTGTAATCTCACTAGTGATGTCTGGAGAGGATAGAGTGTACCCAGACTTTATCCCTACCTTAACATAAGAAAAATATAGGTTGAAATCTCAAATGTAACGTTTTTGAATTTTTAGGTCATAATTCATGACTCTCATAGTATTTGCATGGAATAATATATAAATTTTGTCTAGTGAAATTACATCCGAACTAGTTATAACATGGGCGAACTCTATAGGTCCAAAAAATTAATTACTTTTATAGGCTTGAATTATATGTATTAATATAAAAAGAAATTTAACATGTATACACATCATAAAATCTTCTTGATCAATTCATGTCGTTTCCAGGAAGTTGGAGTACACATTAGTTGATTTATTCGAATCCCCTTTCCGAAAATTAAAATTACATTGTTTATAAAATGTTAACTTTATTTCATGTATATATATGTTGAATCCGGACACTTAATTTCTTCGCATATTTACTTCTTTTATTTTTGAATCTTATTACTTGGTGCTATTTTATGAAGAAAAAACAGCTATACAGAAATGAATATTAAATTAAACTTGCCTTCAAACAAACAACAAAGTCGTTGTAGTATAGTGGTAAGTATTCCCGCCTGTCACGCGGGTGACCCGGGTTCGATCCCCGGCAACGGCGTTTCCCGTTTTTTATTTTATAAACATACACGTAAATATTAAATATTAAAGCTAGAAATTCGGCCAAAATCAACCGACCGGCTTTAGTTTCGGTCGGTTTTTCAAAATATTTTATCTTTTTTTTTTTACGAAATCGATAAACTTCGGTCGGGTTTTTTTTGCGCAAAAATGCTGAAAACTATTTTAACATTCCGCGAAATTTATTTTTAAGAAATCGGTCGGTTATTCATATAAACTAAATTTAAATTTAAATTCAAAAAAACTGACCAACATCGGTCGGTTATTTCAGTCAGTCATTTTAAAAAACCGACCGACTTCGATGGTAATTTTATATTTTTAATAAAACCGACCGAAATCAGTAGGTTATTTTCGCGTGAAAATGCAATTAAAGAGTACAAATAAAATAAAATAAAATGTTAAAGCAAAATGTACTAATGGTCTAGCGGTAGAATAGTATTTTTTTCACAGTACAAACCCGGATTCGATTTTCAGATGGTGCATTTTTTAATTGCATAATTATTTTTCCGACAGATTTTCTTTTTTGGGTCGTTTGTGAAATTTAATTAATTGACCGAAATCGATCGAAAATTGCGATCAATTTCGGTCTCTATTTATTACCGATCAGCCTAATTTCGACGGACTAAAGTCTATCAGAAATTAGTCGGTTTTTTCAATTTTCCGACCGATTTCGGTTGGTATTTCTGGAGGCAGTTTTCTGGTAGTGTGATTTCATAATATTTAAGATTGTAATAAACAATATCTCGGAGGTGATTCAAACATTTAGAATATAGCAGAGATATTAATTGTAACTTAGCGACAGATTTTTTTTTCATGAATTTATTATTCATACTAACTCTCCGATCCTCTATATATATTTTTAGAAAATCACTCAGAAAAAGAATTGTCGCTGACATTTTGAAATATATTTGTATGGTGAATGTTTCGATTATTGTTTACAATCGGATATTGTATTTGTTTAAAATTCATTAAATGAGTACAAATTTCGAACCTAGTAAACTAATGAGTTGTGGAAGAGTATAATTCCGAACTTGAACATTCAAATCTTAGATCCGTCTTTGCAATAATAACAATAACCCAATAAAATCTTACTAGTAAGGGTATGAAGAGGGTAGTGTGTATGTCAGATCTTATCCCTACCTCGAGGGAATAGAGAGGATATTTTCGAAAGACCCTCGGCTCAAGAACACGAAAAGAGAAAAGAGACAATATATCGATATCATCAACAGAAACCAAGGGAATAATAAGTGTATTGGGAAAATTTAAGTTCATGTATAGAATTAATTATGAGGTGACATGTCATGGCACGTGGACTGGTAAAGGAATGAAAGTTGGCGAAGGATATTTGAAGAGGCACGAGCTCTAGCAGGCACGGGCAGAGATCCAAGAAAACAAGAAGGGATAGGTGCTCACTAAGGGAAACGATTTGACCAAACAAGAAATTGAATCTGTATTGGTCAAAAAATTCGGTGAAACACTCACTAAGGGAGCATTAACATGGTATTATTTTTTACCCGAAAAATCTATAAATTCTTTTGCTGAGCTTGCAGATTCATTTATCAAAGTAAACTCGGGAGCTCAAAAAGTCGAAAAAGGAATGGAGGATATTTTCAAAATAAAGCAAGGAGATTTGGAGCTGCTCAGAGAATTCGTAGACAGATTCCAGCGTGAAAAGATGACGTTGCCGCGTGTACCTGATAACTGGGAAGCTATGGCTTTTGCCAGTAATTTAAATGAGAAAAGTTCAGAAGCCACGAGACGACTCAAGGAAAGTCTAAGTGAATTTTCAGCAACAACTTGGAATGATATTTACAACAGATACAATATGAAGTTGAGGATAGAAGAAGATATCATCTCTCGGTCTCAAAAAGAGGAGAGGGTAAGTTCAAGACGTGCTGAAACTGAAAAAGGTCTGATAAAAATAGATACGAGCCCTACATGGGACCAGCAGGAAGAGACTCGCGTTCAAAGCAGGATAATTCAAAGTACGATCATAGATCGAGAGATAGAGAGTCAGGCTCATCATCAAGGTTTGGAAAAAAGCGAAACGCATGAGAGACGCGAGATGATGATAGAGGCTCGAAGGAAAAATGTGGCGATTACAATTTCAATGTTAGCACATCAGAGTTAGTAGCAGGATTAAGAAACATGGGTGATAAGGTGAGGTGGCCAAAGGAAATCAGATCAAACCCGAATAGACAAACTCCTGATTTCTGGTGCGAGTTTCACAATGATTATGGTCACAAAACGACAAATTGTAGATTGTTGCAAGGTGAAGTTGATCATTTCTTAAAGAAAGGATATCTAACCGAATTGTTTAGTGAAAAAGGTAAGCAAGCATATATGAAGAACAGGCAGGAGCCCCCTAAACCTCCTTCACCAAAAAGGACCGTTAATGTTATAAGCGGAGGAGAAGAAATTAATGGCATGACATATACGGCAGCTAAGAAAGTTTCAAAGGTTACAGTCACACACGGGAAGCGGGTTCGACATATTTTGGAACAATAAAGTATTACATTCGATGATGCAGATGCAGATGGCGTACTAATTCCATACAATGATGCACTAGTAATATCTCTACTTGTACATGACACTAGTATATTATTATATCTTCCATCTTTTTCGTACTTTCTATATTTCTTATATTGTTGTTATTTTATTTTATGTTATTTTATTATGAGTCTATTGATAGTACTAATATATCGTCTCTTCGCTTTCTTGAGCCGAGGGTCTCCTAGAAACAGCCTCTCTGCCCCTCGGGGTAAGGGAAATGTCTACGTACATATTACCCTCCTCAGACCCCACTTGTGGGATTATACTGGGATGTTGTTGTTGTACATGACACTAGTGTGAAATGAGTTTTGATTGATCCAGGTAGC